AGCCACCGCGCCTGGCCGAGTCTGACTTTTTAACAGTTAAGACTGAAAGAATGAGTTGGGATAATCTCAGAGGAGCATCTGGTCTTTTGTTTTTCATGACAACTCAAGGAAAGTTAAACATCTGAATCACAGACCACTAATTAACAAGGCATGTTTTATATTGTAAACATAGAATATAGTAAATTAGGAAGCCAGGAAGGAGAAAAGACAAAAGAAAAAGAAAACCCTGTCAGGTTCACCTGTCAAAAATTACACTCCAATTCCAAAGTTCGTTGTTTGCTTTGCTTGTTTGTTCCGCTTTCAAATTTAACAGATTAGATATTTACATGGTTCTAAATGCAAAATGGCTGCTTGCTATTTAGAACAGTTGTGGTCATACTGTTTTTGCAGTTTTTATTCTGTTTTCCCAGACTGAACTTTATTTTTCAATGTGTGTCCCATCCTCTTTTTTTCAAAACGAGATAGGGTCTCACTGTGTTGTCCAGTCTGGTCTCAGACTCCTGGGCTCAAGCAATCCTCCTGCCTCAGCCTCCCAAAGTGCTGAGATTACAGGCATGAGCTACCGCATCAGCCTGATCACCATCATCTTATTCCACCCAGGGGCTGGCACATAATTTTTGAGTCCCTCTCTCTTTCCCACCACCAATTGCTCTTGGCATTTATGTTGCTCCCAGTTTCCCAGGGTTCTAAGTTTGTGATGAGCAGCATAACCCTTTCTCCGTTTCAAAGATCGTTTTGTTCAGACATGTTCCCTTGTGGCCAGAGGATGTGGATAGGTTCTGATCCATCTTATCGGGTTATTTCAGAAGGACCACAGCACATCGGTCACTCATTCATGTGCCCTGCCCGAGCAGTACTCAGCAAAACCACCCTGTAATACACATGGGCTACTGCTGGGAATACCAGGGGTTATGAAAACAAAAATGAACCTGCCTTGCTGATTGGGAGAGGGAAATGCTATCCTCTTTGGTATAAATTTTATTTATGATGATGATGATGATTATTATTATTATTATATTGAGACAGAGGCTTGCTTTGCCGCCCAGGCGGGAGTGCAGTGGTGTGATCTCAGCTCATTGCAACCTCCGCCTCCCGCGTTCAAGCAATTCTCATGCCTCAGTCATCTGAACAGCTGGGATTACGCGCACCAACTAATTATTGTATTTTTAGTAGAAACGGGGTTTCATCATGTTGGCCAGTCTGGTCTTTGCCCGCCTCAGCCAGGCTTCGCCCCCACCACTGGCCTCCCAAAGTGCTGGGATTAAAGGCATGAACCACCACCCCTGGACTTAAATTTTTTTTATTATTATTATTACTAGTGAGACTCTCATTTCCCTATGTCTTCCCATTAATTGAATTTTTTCTTGTGTGAAGTGCTTCCTCCCCACCTTCTCTGTTTGGTCCGTTTGTGGGTTCTCTATCATCACCCTTGGCTGAGTATACCTACAACTTTTTTTTTCTTCTTTACAGTTTGTCTATCTTTTGTGTGTGTTTGTGTGGTGGGGGAAGATAAGGTCTGGCTCTGTCATTCAGGCTGGAGTGCAGTGGCATTATCACAGCTCACTACAGCCTTGACCTCCTGGGTTCAAATGATCCTCATACCTTAGCCTCCCGAGTAGCTGGGACCACAGGTACGCACCACCACACCTCCTAGCTCATTTTTTATTTGTTTGTAGAGACAGGGTCTCACTATGTTGCCCAGGCTGGTCTGGAACTCCTGGCCTCAAAGGATCCTCCCAACTCACCCTTGCTGGGATTGCAGGTGTGAGCCACCACACCGGCCTGCTTTTGTATTCTTGTGTGTAACTCTTCACTGCAGCTGGAGTGTGTCTGGGCTTGTGGAGAGAAAAGAGGAGCCAGGGAGGTAATGGGCTGTTTGGTGCCCCTTCTAACTCCTGACCCCTTCTTGAAATCCCAGGACTTTCTGAGCAGGGCCCTGAAATATGCTTGCTTGTAGGAAACTAGGGCAGAGGGTCAGTTTGACGAATTGACTTGAAAAAATTGTTGATTCAAGAGTAGCAACGTGGCTGGGTGTGGTGGCTTACGCCTATAATCCCAGCACTTCAGGAGGCCAAGGCTGGTGGATCACTTGAGCTCAGGAGTTGAGACCAGTCTGGCCAACATGATGAAACCTCGTCTCTAATAAAAATACAAAAATTGGCAGGTGTGGTGGCACACACCTGTAGTCCCAGCTACTTCGGAGGCTGAGGCAGGAGAATCACTTGAACCCGGGAGGCTGAGGTTACAGTGAGCCAAGATCACACCACTGCACTCCAGCTGGGAAGACAAGATTACTGAGACTCCATCTAAAAAAAGAAAAAAAAAAGTAGCTACTATTCACAAAAGGACAAAAACTTAATTATTCCACTTATAGGAAGTACCTTCCATACTCAAGTTCATAGAGGCAGATGTAGAATTACGGTTCTCAGGGGCTGGGGGAGGGACAATGGCAACCTCTTGTTTAATGAGGGTCCAAGCTTCCTTTTGGGATGATGAAAAAGTCTGGACACAAATGTTGGATCGTTGCATGACAATGTGAATGTACCTAATACCACTGAACTGTACACTTAAAAGTTGGCTAAGGTAGTAAATCTTGTGTTTTGTACACTTTACCACAAATAAAAGAGCATAGCCTAGAAGTGGAAGAGTCAAGGAGGCTTCAGTCATCCCATCATACGTGACATATTGAAACTTACAGGGGACCAGGCAAGGCGGCTCATGCCTGTAATCCTGGCACTGTGGGAGGCCGAGACAGGCAGATCGCTTGAGCTCAGGAGTTCAAGACCAGCCTGGGCAACATGGTGAAACACCGTCTCTACCAAAAACATTAATACAAAAACAGCTGGGTGTGGTGGTGGGTACCTGTGGTCCCAGTTCCTCAGGGGACTGGTGTGGGAGGATCGCTTGGGCTTAGGCGGTCATGGCTGCAGTTAGCTGAGTTTGTGCCACTGCACTCTAGCCTGGGCAACACAGAGAGACCCCATCTCAAAAAAGAAAAGAAAGAAAGAAAAGAAACTTACAAGGACCTGGCAGACTACTGTGTCATCAGTGGGTGGGATCCTTACGAGCTTCTGCCTGGGGACAATTGGCCTCGGGCCTTTTCTTGCTGCTGCTGGCTGGGTGGCTTTTCCCTTTTCTTTTTTTTTTTTTTTTTTTTTTTTTTTTTGAGACGATTCTCCCTCTGTCGCCAGGCTGGAGTGCAGTGGCGGGATCTCGGCTCACTGCACCCTCCGCCTCCCGCATTCAAGCGATTCTCCTGCCTCAGCCTCCTGAGTAGCTGGGACCACAGGCACGCATCACCACGTCCAGCTAATTTTTGTATTTTTAATAGAGACGGGGTTTCACCATGTTGGCCAGGATGGTCTTGATCTCTTGACCTTGTGATCCGTCCACCTCGGCCTCCCAAAGTGCTGGGATTACAGACGTGAGCCACTACGCCCGGCCAGTGTTTCCCTTCTCTGTGCCTCGCTTCCACCTGCTGGAAACACTCTAAGTGGATGGTTTTATTGTCCCCATTTTGTGGATGAGGAAACTAAAGTTCATAGGGTCAAATGTCTGGCTCCAGGTCCCTGGGCCAGTTGGTGGCAGAGCCAGAGGTGATCCCAGGGTTCTGACCCTGCAGCCCTGGCACCTCCTTCATGGACCCCCTTCTTTCTTCTCCACCCAGTTTGACTTTGAAAGTGACCATGCAGACTGCCTGCCAAGACTTGCCCAGGATCCCTCAGCTTACTGAGGACTTGCTCCATGCTGGACATGGGCCAAGAGCCCCTCCGCTAGCCCACCACTGCTAGGGCTAAGGATGGTTTTGCCCATTTTGCAGATGCAGAGAAATGGCAGTCAGGGATCCACTAGAGAAACAGAACCAGTAAGAGGTAGGCAGGTAGACAGACAGGCCAACGTACCTGGGAAAATTGACTTATGTGATGGTGAGGCTGGCTAGGTAGCTGAAACTCAGACAGGAGTGGACACTGCAGCCCACAGGTGAAAGTTTTTTTGTTGTTTGTTTGTTTTTTTTTTTGAGACAGGGTCCCACTTTGTGGGTGGCCCAGGCTGGAGTGCAGTGCAATAGTGTGATTACAGCTCACTACAGCCTCCACCTCCTGGGCTCAAACCATCCTCCTGCTTCAGCCTCCCAAGTAGCCAGGACCACAGGTGTACACCACCACACCCAGCTAATTTTTGTTGTTTTTGTAGAGACGAGGACTTGCATGTTTCCCAAGCCGGTCTTGAACTCCTGGATGCAAGTGCTTTGCCCACCTCGGCCTCCCAAAGTGCTGGGATTACAGGTGTGAGTTACCTGGGCTGGCCACCAGTTCTGTTCTTAAGGCCTTTCAACCAATTGGATCAGTCCCACCCAGGTTGTCTAGGATACTCTCTTTTACATAAAATCAACTGATATAGAATGTTCATCACATCTACAGAATACTTTCACAGACCAGCCTGGGCAACATAGCAAGACCCCATCTCTACAAAATTTTAAAAAATCAGCTGGGGGTGGTAATGAGTGCCTGGCAGGTGCAGCTACTCAGGAGGCTAAGGTAGGAGGATTGCTTGAACCCAGGAGGTCGAGGCTGCAATGAGCTATGATTGTGCCACTGCACTCCAGCCTGGGCAACAGAGCAAGACCCTGTCTCCTAAAAAAAAAAAAATGTTTCATAGCAACACTTTGACTTGTGTTTGAGAAACTAGATACTACAGCCTAACCAAGTTAACACATACAACTGACCATTACAGTGAGCTCAGGTTAATTAGCTCACCGGAGATCCCAGTCACCAGGCCTTTGCAGCTTTTCTTGCTTTTTTTTCTTTTTTGAGACGGAATCTCGCTCTGTCACCCAGGCTGGAGTGCAGTGGTGCAATATTGGCTCACTGCAACCTCTGCCTTCCGGGTTCAAGCAATTCTCCTGCCTCAGCCTCCCGAGTAGCTGGGATTACAGGCACCCGCCACCATGCCCGGCTAATTTTTTGTATTTTCAGTAGAGACGGGGTTTCACCATCTTGGCCAGGCTGGTCTTGATCTCCTGGCCTGGTGATCCACCTGCCTCGGCCTCCCAAAGTGCTAGGATTACAGGCGTGAGCCACCGTGCCCGGCCCTTTGCAGCTTTTCAAACCTTCTCTCAGACAACGAGAGTGACATGGTTGGAAAAGCATCAGCCTTGGGATTAAGCAGCACTGGGTTCGAGTCACTGCCCTGTCACTCACTCTCTCAACAACCCTGGACAGATCACTTCTGCAAGGGTCCCCAGCTCCTCTGTAGAGTCGGGTGGGGCTGTGGGGGAAGGTCAGAGGGAGCCTGCATGGACCCCGGGTGCCCGCCCGCAGGGACCTCTGACTCCTTCTTCTTCCTGTGCTGAGTATCTCTGTCCCCAGTCCCATGATGATGGCTCTTTCTTACGTCTGCCACCAGCAACATGAAGCTGCACTGCAAGAGGGAGAAGCCACTCCAGCCCGTGGCATGGTAAGGAGACTGGCATTTCCCCTTTTGTGGCCTTGAGGGTGGTGGCTCCCCTCCACCACTGGTCCTTCTTGGTTGCAGGTCACAGTACCCCCAGCCCAAGCTGCTGGAGCACAGGTAGGTGTCATGGAGAGGCCTGAAGGGGATGGGGGGAGGGGCCGAAAGAGCTCTGATTTATAAGTTGGGGTAGTGGAGGTGCCAATATCAGGGTGGCCTTGGGGCCCAGAGAGTTAGGGACTGTGGAAAGACACAGGGCTGGGAGTCAGGCACCTGGGCTGTGTGACCTTGGGCAGGGTACCCAACTGCTCTGAGCTTTTTCTGTGCAGGTGGATAATAGTACCTAGCTCCCTGGAGGTTGGAGGAGCAGATGAGAGGTACTGTAACATCTGCGGTGTCTGCACTCAGTAGGTGCTCGGGCCATTGTTCTTAACAATGTTGTCTTGCCCTTTTTAATGACCCTCACTTATTAGGGGCTCGGCACACATGGACAATGCCAGGCTCCTCCTTGGTGTGCGTTAACTCCTGCTCTTCCCAACGCTGCTGAGAGGTGACGGTCATTATTCCCACCTTCCATGTGAGGAAAGGGAGGCCCAGAGATGGGGACGAAGCTGCCCCGGTCACACTGTGAGAGCCAGGGCCGGGAGGAGACTTAGGCTTTCACAGGGGAGGGTCTCAGTGCCCACGGCCCCCCTGCTGCCAGGCCCACACAGCTGCTGACACTCACACCCTGGTTAGCGCCCATCGTCTCCGAGGGAACCTTCAACCCAGAGCTTCTGCAGCACATCTACCAGCCACTGAACCTGACCATTGGGGTCACGGCGTTTGCCGTGGGGAAGTGAGTAGTGGGCTGGGGAAGGGGAGGGAGGTCTCCCTGAGCCACAGGAGTTTATAGTCAGGAAGAGACCAGACGTGCACACAGGACCCTGCTGGGCACCCGGGGGGATCGGAACCAGGTGCCGAGCAGACAGAAAATGCAGAGTAGGGTGTGATAGTGGGATGGGGGCTTCCTGGGGTAGGGGGTCTGGCTCTAGCATAGCTGGGAGGCAGAGTCCAGATGAGGGGACAGCAGGAACCTTTGTCAGGAGGCCCCACTGCCCCTCCCTGTTTCATCTGGACCCCTCCTCTGCCCTCATCTCTCCCTGACCCCACCGGCCTTCCTTAGGAGCTGCCGCTTGGCAGCCTCCCTTTGGGCCCCTGGGACTCCTTCCTGGAACTTCCTGGGGCCGCAAGCCCTAAAGCATGGCCAGATGATGAATGGCCCACCTAGGGTCAGGTGACCCCCTTGTCCAGTGAGTTTTGGCCTGGGGGCAGGGCTGTGTCAACCACACCCCACTCCATGCCCCCAGCATCTAGCTCAACTGCTTTCCCTTAATTCATCCACTTACCTGCTTCTTGGCTACCTTCTTCTCCGTGGTACTCAATGTTCCTGCCTGTGTAATGGGCACGCTTTAAGGCAGCTTATGAAGATCAAAGATCATAAGAATTCTTAGAATGTTGCTGGGCACTTAGAAATTGCTCCATAAAACTTCACCTGGTCTAGAAGCATAAGAATCTCTACCAGGAGGCCGGGCACAGTGGCTCATGCCTGTAATCCCAGCACTTTGGGAGGCCGAGGCGGGCAGATCACGAGGTCAGGAGATCGAGACCATCCTGGCTAACATGGTGAAAACCCATCTCTACTAAAAATACAAAACAAAACAAAACAAAATTAGCCAGGCGTGGTGGCAGGTGCCTATAGTCCCAGCTACCTGGGAGGCTGAGGCAGGAGAATGGCATGAACCTGGGATGCAGAGCTTGCAGTAAGCCAAGATTGTGCCACTGCATTCCAGCCGGGGCGACAGAGCGAGACTCCGTCTCCAAAAAAAAAAAAAAAAAGTAAAAGAAAAAGAATCTCTACCAGGAACATGCTTACAACAGCCGTAAGAGGCTGGTACTAGCGTTTTGGGAATTGGACAAATGAGGACCCAGAGGGTCGGAGCAGAGTGACATCTTGAGATGGGGAGCTGGTAAGTGGACCCCAGCCTGGCTGGCCCCAGCACACAGTGGGGACCCAGGCAGGCTGCTGGGGTAGCGATGGGTGACCGGGTGATCATCACTAGGTACACTCACTTCATCCAGTCCTTCCTGGAGTCAGCCGAGGAGTTCTTCATGCGTGGGTACCGGGTGCACTACTACATCTTCACTGACAATCCTGCAGCCGTTCCCGGGGTCCCACTGGGTCCCCACCGGCTCCTCAGCACCATCCCCATCCAGGGTCACTCCAACTGGGAAGAGACATGCATGCGCCGGATGGAGACCATCAGCCAGCACATTGCTAAGAGGGCTCACCGGGAGGTGGACTACCTCTTCTGCCTTGATGTGGACATGGTGTTTCGGAACCCGTGGGGCCCTGAGACCTTGGGAGACCTGGTGGCTGCCATTCACCCAAGCTACTACGCCACACCCCGCCAGCAGTTTCCCTACGAGCGCAGGCGTGTTTCCACTGCCTTTGTGGCAGACAGCGAAGGGGACTTCTATTATGGTGGGAAAGTCTTCCGGGGGCAGGTGGCCAGGGTATATGAGTTTACCAGGGGCTGCCACATGGCCATCCTGGCAGACAAGGCCAATGGCATCATGGCAGCCTGGCGGGAGGAAAGCCACCTGAATCGTCGCTTCATCTCAAACAAGCCGTCCAAGGTGCTGTCCCCCGAGTACCTCTGGGATGACAGGAAGCCCCAGCCGCCCAGCCTGAAGCTGATCCGCTTTTCTACACTGGACAAGGATATCAGCTCCTGAGGAGCTGATCACGGAGCTGGGGCTGCCATGGATGGGGATCCAAAGCCCTGCAGCCACCAGCACTTCACTAGTGTGCAGACCAGCCCTGTCCCACCTCCCTCTGTCAGTCAGGCAAATTCAGCTGGAAAAGGGATGTGGAAAGGCCACTGTGAACTGCAGAGGGCTGTGCACACAGTAGCACACAAGATCTCACAGTAATGTGGCACAGGAACGGTGAGACGGGGGAGGGGAGGCGCAGTTACAAAGGCAGGGCCCGGCAGGCTTGCTGCGTTCTGCAGCCGTGCCTTTGTGGGGCAGGCTCCGAAGCCTCAGCCTGACTCAGAGTGCCTGAACCCTGCAGCGCCAGCCTCCCGTTTATTGCATATTGCCCTTAACATAGCATTTCTAATACCCTAGTGTGAGGGCACCCTAGACCCCTTTTCTCTGGTCACAGGGGTCCTGGATCCCTTGATGTCTCCCAATCACATGTAGCCAATTTCTCACTCAGGCCCCCAGAGCGAGCCTTTGAAATGGAGCAGGTCTAGGCTCTCTCTGGTTTCCTGCGCCCCAAAGTGAACCGCACTCTCAGGGGACTAGCCACCTCCTTCTTAAGAGGGTTTGGGGCAGTTTATAATAAAGGTGGTGTGTGCTCCACCCTAGCTAGGGTGATTTTTTGTTTGTTTGGCTTTTGCTTTTGTTTTTGTTTTTGTTTTTTTTGAGACCGAGTTTCGCTCTTGTCACCCAGGCTGGAGTTCAGTGGCGTGATCTTGGTTCACTGCAACCTCCACCTCCCAGGTTCAAGCGATTCTCCTGCCTCAGCCTCCCAAGTAGCTGGGATTACAGGCGCCTGCCACACCCAGCTAATTTTTTAATTTTTAGTAGAAACGGGGTTTCACCATGTTGGCCAGGTTGGCCTCAAACTCCTGACCTCAAGTGATCCACCTGCTGTGACCTCCCAAAGTGCTAGGATTACAGGTGTGAGCCACCGTGCCCGGCCACTAAGGTGGTTTTTACCTGCACATCCAGCCTGCCTGTGTCCCTAGTGTCTGTTCCATCAGGCAGTGGGGACACGGGCAGACTGGATTTCAAACACAATCAAATGGGGGTGGGGGGTAGGGGATATAGTTACTCCAGAAAATCTGAGCTACAGCTAGAGGGTGCAACAGACAGTATTTCATTCCAGTTCTCCAGGGAGACTGGGTGAAGCGGAGCATGCTGGCAGATTAACACGCTCCTGACTGTGTAGAGGGATATGGAGCCCAGCAGCTGGACAACCCTGGGAGCTCCTGTATCCAGGGTCACTGCAGCCCTGTGAGGCCACCAGTGGGCATGGGACTCTGTGCCAATGGTGCAGGCCAGGATTAGAGGGCTTAGGAAGATGACCTCTCCAGTCTGGACCCAGAAGGACTTCAGAGGCCTACAGCGGTTCTGTCTGCCAGGCCATTCAGAGATGGGGTGGGGTATGGGTTCAGGGCTTGGTGGCCTGGTGCTTACTGCCCTGGAGATAGCAGCATCTTTTTCATGGAAGAAGACAGAGAGGAGGGTGGGGTAGACTCTGGTCATACCAGAATGGGCAGGCACCCACCCACTTGGTCACCCGTAGAGAAGTTGGGGCCAGCCCTGAGTTCATTCTTCCTGCACCTGTGATTTGGCTGGCGAGCAGGGACCGATCCCAAGTGTGGACAGATGGAGTGACTAGTTGGAGGAGACAGACTGGGCTGGAGAGGCCTGGAGTTTAGAAGGGGCTCTGGGTGCCTCCTGGGCAGAGGGGCAGGAATGGAACCATGGCCTCTGTGTCCCTCATAGGGAGCGCCTGCCTGCTCCAGGGGAGGGGGGGGCTGTGCTGAAGGAGTAGGCCCTGCCTCTGGGCAGCTTCTGTTGAAAGCACATAGAGGGCCTTGGAAGCACTGGACTCAGCTGGGTGGATGACTGGGAGATGGGGGACCCGAGGTGACAGCAGACTCTGAGGCTTGGGCAGCTCCGCCTAGCAGGGGAGAAACCCCCCACACCCCCCTCAGCCCACTTACACCCAGCTTTACCCCTGGCACACCCTCCCGGATGGGAGTCCCTGAGCCATTTTCAGTAGAGGAAACTGAGACTCTGAGAGGTCCCCACGAGCTTGCCTGTGATGTGGCCCAGCTGCAGGTTTGAACCCAGGTCATCTGGGTTCAAGACTGTGCACTGCATGGGGTGGGAGGAGTACAGCTCTGAAGGTGAGTGCATTGTGGAGGATGATACAGGGAGGGGCAGTGCTGACAGGGGGCTCTGAGAGAGGCAGGAGCTTGATGGGGTCCCTGGGTCACCATGGCCCCAGGAGGCTAGAGTTGGGGTATAGGGACCAGGTCACACAGGGTTCTGAATGCCAGGCAAGGAGGCGGGGGTCACTGCCGGTCTGTCCCAGCAGGGGGATCTATATAAATGGGGCCCAAGTGCTGGACTCAGGGGAAACCTGGCCAGCGAGGCCCCAACACAGGATGAGGCCTCTGATGACCAGCTCGGGGATGAGCAACGGGGGAAGAGCCATGAAGTGTGGGGGTCACCACGCACAGCAGGGCCTGGCCAGTCAGAGCTGAGTGGCCTGCAATGCTGGTGCCTTGGCTCTGATGTAAAGTTGAATGAGGCCGGGCATGGTGGCTCACGCCTGTAATTCCAGCACTTTAGGAGGCCAAGGCAGGAGGATCGCTGGAACCCAAGAGTTTCAAACCAGCCTGGGCAACATAGTGAGACTTCGTCTCTACATAGTTGTTTTAAAAATAAAAAGGGCTGGGCACAGTGGCTCACGCCTGTAATCCCAGCACTTCGGGAGGCCGAGGTGGGCAGATTACAAGGTCAGAAGTTCCAGACCAGCCTGGCCAACACAGTGAAACCCCATCTCTACTAAAAATACAAAAATTAGCCAGGTGTGGTGGCACATGCCTGTAGTCCCAGCTACTCGGGAGGCTGAGATGGGAGAATCACTTGAACCTGGGAGGCAGAGGTTGCAATGAGCCGAGACTGTGCCATTGCACTCCAGCCTGGGTGACAGAGTGAGACTCTGTCTCAAAAAAATAAATAAATCAAAAGGAATGGCCAGGCACAGTGGCTCACGCCTGTAATCCCAACACTTTGGGAGGCCGAGGTGGGTAGATCACCTGAGGTCAGGGGTTCGAGAACAGCCTGGCCAACATGGTGAAACCCCGTCTCTACTACAATACAAAATCAGCCGGGCGTGGTGGCAGGTGCCTGTAATCCCAGCTACTCAGGAGGCTGAGGCAGGAGAATTGCTTGAACCCAGGAGGCGGAGGTTGCAGTGAGCCGAGATCGCACCATTGCATTCCAGCCCGGGGGACAAGAGTGAGACTTCGTCTCAAAAAACAAACAAATGAGACTACATCTCAAAACACAAATAAATAAATAAATAAATAAATAAATAAATAATAAAAAGGGACGAAATCAGTGAGCCCTAATAACACTGACTACCCCCAACACTAGCTCAACCCCTGTGTGAGGCCTCCTTCCCCCAGGCTCCCTCGAGCCCCATCTTACACCAGCTGAAGCTGCAGCTGGACCTCGTGGTCCCGGGTGCTGTCAGGGAAGACAAGGATGGAGGTGGGGAAGGGAAGACCTGACTTTCTCCCTGCCCAGGCTGAGTCCGCTGTCACCTTGGGTCCCCCAGCTCCCAGCCGTCCGCCGAGCCGAGTCCAGCAGGTGGCATCGGGGTGCTGGGCGAGAGGGTGAGCGTGTATATTTGGTGACGCCGGCACGCCGAGTCAGCGGCCCCCGCCTGACTGGGGCGAGGTTGGCCCTAGGTCCTGGCGGGGTGGGGAGTACTGAGCAGGCGGCTGGGGCGGAGGGACACGTGAGATCGGCCGCACACAGCGCTTGGTGCGTGGCGCGTGGCGCGTGGCGTGTGCGCGCGGCGAGGCGGAGTGACGTGCACGCGCTGTCTGCGGTCCCGCGCAGGCCCCGTGTGCGCGCCCGGCCTTGGATTCCAGGCCCGGCTGCCCCGCGCTGGGAACACCCGCGTCGGCCAGCTGGAGGGAGGCCTGAGCGCGCCCCCGAGCGCGCCCCCGAGCTCGCGCGTCGGGGCGCGCCCCTCGCACCTGCAGGCGGGCTGGGGCGGGGCCGCAGCTGTCCCCGCCCACCCAGGCCCGAGCCCCGGGAGCCGGGGCGGAACCGAGCGGCGGGGCCCGAGCGGCCGGAGCGCAGCGCGGCGCAGACAATGGGAGCGGCGCTGGCGGCGGCTGGGGCGGCCCCGGGGGCCACAGAGTCCTGGGCCCGGCGGGGACCGGAGGCCGCGCCATGAGCCCCGCAGCCGGGCGCACCCCTGCGCCGCGCGCGGGCCGAGGCGAGCTGCCTCTGCGAGCCCCGGGCCCCGCCGTGGGGCCGGCGATGAGCCACCGAGGCTGAGGATGATGGTAGATTGCCAGGTGAGTGCGCGCCGGCCCCAACCCCGCGTCGCGGGTGGAGGGAGGACCGCCCGCCCCCGCCCACACCCACCGAGGGGAGGGAGCCCGGCGCGGCGTCCACGCTGAGCGTGCGCTTACGCAGCTCCGCGTCCAACCCCGCCCGGGACAGTAGGGAAACTGAGGACAGGAGAGGGGCAGGGACTGGCCCGGGGCACACGAAGTGGGCGGAGTCCAGAGGTGAAGGGAGGGTTCCGACCTCTTAGGCCAGGAAGGGTTCGGCTCACCCTTCCCATGGGGTTTGCTTTGGGAATGACAGCCTCTAAGATCCTGAGGACCCCTGCCCATCTCCCATGTGGGCTCTTTTGCCTGGGCTTCTCCGCGCACGCACAGGCGCAGGCCTGCGCACACATGCTCACACACACGCAGACACACACACCACACACTTCCTGGGACTCAGAGTAGGACGGGACGCTGGGGAAGTGACTGGGGAAAAGATGAAAGAGGGCGGGGGCTGCTCTGTCATGGGCACGTGCATCCAGTACCCAACAACATGCCCGGGGCCATGGCACGGGGTTAGGGGGCAAGGGGAGGACACGCCGGCTTGATGGGCGGGGGTTCTCCAGGGTTCCCAGGATCTGTGTGGGCTGGGGCAGCCTGGAGAGGACAGATTGTGGGGTTCTGTGTTCAGCGCTGTGATCACCTAGAAGCAGGAGAAGACCCCTTCAGTGTGGAGGGGACTGTAGGAAAGGAAGCCTCAAATTCCTGCGCTATACATTGGAATGTTCGGCCTGGGTGACCCCAAGGGTCCCACAGGCTCGTAGACGTGTCTGTCGGCCTTGGGTCTCCACTGGGGATGCTCCCACTACCCACCGAAGTCTGTGGAAAATGCCTTCTTCTTGGAGGTCCTTCTGAGCAAGAGAAGCCTGGGGGGCTGAAAGGCTGAGGGCCTGGGGTGGTGCAGAGTGCGCCCAAGCACTGGACCACTCTTGTGGGGCAAGACTGTCCTTGTTGGAGCGTCAGGGTTCTTATCTGGAAGTGGGGCCAGAGCCGTTGCCCTGGTTGGAGTGAGGAGGCCTCACGAGTGAACTGGACACCCCAGGGCCAGCAGAGGGAAAGAGGGGAGCAAATGAAGCTTCTGAGGCTCCTTGAATTACCCCTGGAGCCTACAGGTTCTACTCCTTTGACCCTCTGGGACTCAGGAGAGCTGCTACCTTGACAACACTCAAACAAAGGTGTGTGTTTTGTTTTGTGGGTTTTCTGCCCGCGGCTGCTGCTGTGCTAGTGCCGGCCACCAGGGGGAGGCAGTGCCCATTGTGCTCCACGGAGCAACTGGAGTCAGGGAGAGCCCCGCAGGGTCCCTCTGGGTGACCCCGGCCTCCACCCAATGCACACCCCCCATAACTAGCATCCCTCTCCACAACGTTAGCTGCTCAGATGCGGGAGTGGGCTCCAAGAGCCTCCTCTTTCCCTTCAGCAGGTGTGCCCAAGCACTCACCCTGGGTGGGGGAGCAGCATTGGGCTTGGGCGTGGCTCTGAAAATGACCCAGGTGGGCCTGCCCTCCAGAGTTGGCAGTCGGGAGCAGGCGATGGACAGGGCACAAAAGCAAACAGGCAAAGAAAGGAAAAAGGAAGTGCTGCCAGGGAGGGCTGGGGCCTGCTGGGTGGGGGTCTGAGAGGTCTTGCTAAGGGGACATCTGTGCTGTGACCAGAAGACAAAGCATGGGCCAGCCCTGCATGAGTCTGGACAGTGTGATGGAGAAGGCTCAGCAGACAGGGCTGGAAGGCACAAATGAGTTTGGCCAGAGAGGAGTGAGAAAGCAGGCCAGTGTGGCCCAAGTGAGCTGGGGGCGGGAGGGGAAGCCCAGGGGCCTGGAGACAGCTGTGTGACAACACTACCCTAATGTACAGCTTTCAGCAACAGACACTGATCATCACACAGTTTCTGTGGACCCAGATCCAGGGCAGCTCAGCTGGGTGCCTCAGCCCCCAGGTCTCAAGGGAGGCTGGGACTGGGGTCTCAGCCGTGGCTGGACTGGGCAGGACCGGCCCTCAGGCCTTTCTCATGTTATTGGCAGGACTCAGTTTTGACTGAGGATGTCAGTTCCTCTGTAACTGTTGTGGGGACCCTCCCTTGGTTCACTGCCATGTGGGCCTCTGTAGGGCAGGCAGCTCACGGCATCAGAACTCACTTCCCCAGCGTGAGGCGTGAGGGTAGGAAGGAAAACAAGAGCAAACAAGCAAGACAGAAGTCATGGTTTTTTGTAAATCTTGGAAGTGACCTCACATCACTTGTGCTGTATTCTGTTGGTGAGAAGCCAGTCACTAAATCCAGTCACCCTTGGAGGAAGGGGATCACTCAGCAACTTATGTATCAGGAGGCAGGGATCTCTGGAGCCAGTGCAGAGGCTGCTTGGGACAGAGGCTGAGAGGAGGCAGTCAGGCCTGATTCTAAACATAATGGAGGCCAGGCGTGGTGGCTCACACCTGTAATCTCAGCACTTTGGGAGGCCGAGGCGGGTGGATCATTTAAGGTCAGGAGTTCAACACCAACCTGGCCAACATGGTGAAACCCCATCTCCACACACACAAAAAAAAAAAAACCAAAAAAAACAAAAAGTAGTCGGGCGTCTTGGCAGGTGCCTATAATCCCAGCTACTTCGGAGGCTGAGGCAGGAGAATCACTTGAACCTGGGAGGTGGAGGTTGCAGTGAGCCAAGATCATGCCACTGCACTCCAGCCTGGGCAACAGAGCCAGACCTTGTCTCAATAAACAAACAAACAAACATAATGGGAGCCAATGGAAGGTGTTCCCACTGGGAGATGCTTCCATATGCCACAGGGGGCCAATATCTGATGTTTGCTTAATTTTCAACCCGTTCATGGTGCAGACGAGGAAACCAGACTAAGAAGGGAGTGACTCCCTAGATACAGCACCAGTGCCCAGCCTGTCCCACTTGTATTCCGGGCTGTGTCTCACCTCTGTTAGAAGTTTCTTTCCTCACAGTTGTAAAGGCCAGAGGCCCAAAATCCAGGGGTCAGCAGGGCCCTGCTGTCTCTGAAGACCCCTTCCCTTCCTAATCCTTCCATCTCGAAGTCTGTGCAGTAGCTAACAGGTTTTGTAGTATTGTCTCACATTAGCGTGGTGATGTCCCCAGGAAGTAGATGTTAGAACCATCCGCATTGTGCAGGTCGGGAGACTGGGGAGGCCCTGAAAGGCACAATGACTAGTTTGGGATCACAGAACTGGCAAGAAGCAGGAGCTTGGTGACCCAGATGGCTTTCCCTCTGTGAGCCTCAGGGGCTGGGAGCATGAGAACACAATGGTTGGCTGTCCCAGCTCCCAGAGTGGCTGTGAGTACCTGGAAGTGCCCCTTGTCCCCCCTCACACACCTGCCATCGCTCTCCCCATTTCCTTAACCCCCAGCACTGCTGCCACTTGATTTTTTTTTTTTTTTTTTTTTTTTTTTTTTTTTGAGGCGGAGTCTTGCTCTGTCTCCCAGGCTGGAGTGCAGTGGCCCGATCTCAGCTCACTGCAAGCTCCGCCTCCCGGGTCCACGCCATTCTCCTGCCTCAGCCTCCCGAGTAGCTGGGACTACAGGCGCCCGCCACCTCACCCGGCTAGTTTTTTTTTTGTATTTTTTAGTAGAGACGGGGTTTCACCGTGTTAGCCAGGATGGTCTCGATCTCCTGACCTCATGATCCACCCGTCTCGGCCTCCCAAAGTGCTGGGATTACAGGCTTGAGCCACCGCGCCCGGCCTGCCACTTGATTTTTATGAACATCTGAATATGACGAAGTAGCAAAGGCGGATATTCGCTCATTCATTTTGCATCTGTCTCCTGGGTCCAGGCCATGCCAGAGGAGGGGGTATCACAGTCCGGGGAGTTGCCAGGGGAAGGGGCAGTGCTCATCTGGGGAGTGAGTGGGCACAGAGAGATTCCAGAAGGAGGTGTCCTGTGGTCATGGTTGATTCGCGGAGGGGAGGTGTGATGGCGCAGAGGGCGATGACTGGGGCCGCTGTCTATCCGGTCAGTTTCCCAGGCTGCTGTCACAAAGTGCTGGGTGGCTCAACACAACAGAAATTTATTCTCTCACAGTTCTAAAGGCCCGAAGTCCAAAATCCAGGGGTCAGCCAGGCCCTGCTATCTCTGAATGCTCTAGGAGAGGATCCTTCCTTGCATCTTCCAACCTCTGGTGGCTGCCAGTTTCCTTGGCATTGGTTCCTGGTGTTGTAGACGTGTGACTCCAAACTGTGCCTTCATCATCACATGGCCGCCTGTGCGTGACTGTCCAATTTTCCCTGTTATCATAAGGATAGCAGTCACTGGATTAAGACCCACCCTAATCCAGTATGACCTCATCCCGATTCAATCCGCACAGACCCTATTTCCAAATAAGATCTCATTCACGGGTACCAGGGATCTTTTTGGGGGGACACAGTTCATCCCGTAACAGGAGTATTGGGAATGACTCCCCTCCCACAGGCCGGGTACTCGCGTGCCTACGAGGACTAGGGAAGCAGCGGGGAGTCGGAGGACATCCCAGGAAGCCAGCCCCCAGCTAGGGGGTGTGGGGGCGTGAGCGGAGCCCGCCTGCTCCTCAGCTTGGCGCATTTTGGCAGCAGCACCAGCAGGTGGCGCTGTGCACTCCCGTGCGGCCGCCCAGCCCGGCGCGGAGCTGCCGCAGACAAAGGTCTCGCTTTTGGGTTGCGAGGAGCTTGCGCACAGCTGTAAACAGGCCAAGGGCACGGCCACCTTATGGGTGACACACACGGGAGGAAATCAAACCAGGCGGGGCCGAGGCGGGGTGACTGGGTGGCGACTTTGCGTCGGAGGCTGGCGGGGGGCCGAGGAGGAGGTGACAGGGGTGGCGAGGAGGACCATGGTTTGCAGACTGTGGTGTCAGCGGGGCGGAAAGGAAGGCAGGGATGAGGGATAGGGGACCTGGGAGGCTGCAGGGGCCGGGCCCACAGGGGCCAGGAGTTTGCCTTTCGTTTGGTTCCTCACCTGCAAGCTGAGCCTGCCTTTCTCAGGCCTCTGCAGAGGCCCTGTGGCTGATTACACCTGCAAATAGCTCTCCTGTTACTGCAGGGCTGTCTGGCCCAGGTCTGCGGGTGCTCGGAAGGCAGCCCTGGGCACGGGTGGGCTGTCTGTGCAGATCGAGACTTGAGGGGTCCTTCCCCCCAACCCCAGCCCCAGACCCTGTCTCAGGGGAGCTGGGATGCCTGAGGTGGTCCTGCTGCTCCTGGTGGGGGTCAGCACGGCCCCGAAGAGGCCCCTTTGATATACAAAGGGGCGAGGCAGTGTAGGGCTGAGGTGCAGGGGTCAGGTCCCTGCCATGGAGCCGCTTACATGGCATCGGTGAGAGGGAGCGGAGTGCACAGCAAGCCACTGGCCCGGGAGTGGAATGAGTGGAAGCCATTCCTTTTTTTTTTTAAAGACAAGGTTTTGCTCTGTGGCCCAGGCTGCAGTGCAGGGGCGGGATCACAGCTCACTGCAGCCTCGACCTCCTGGGCTAAGGCCTCCAGAGTAGCTGGGGTGGCAGGCGCACCCCAACACTCCCAGCTAATTTTTGGATTTTTTGTAGAGACAGAGTTTCCCGATGTTGCCCAGGCTGGTCTCAAACACCTGGGCTCAAGCGATCCCCCCGCCTCGGCCTCCCAAAGTGCTAGGATTACAGGCATGAGACACTGTATCCAGCCAGAGGCCATTTCTTACTGTCACCTCCCTGCCTGCACAAGGTCCTCCCACCACCTCCTGGCTCACGGAGCTACCAGGCCCGCCCCTGAGGCTGCTGGTCCTTGACAGTTGGTTCAGTGATTGATTCACATAGCAGATATTGGCCTCTGTACACCTGGCTGGCACTGGGTGCCTGGCCTGTGGGGAGCACCCTGGCTCCTGTGGAAGGGTCAGGGATATGGGGCAGACAGATCTTGTGGAGAAGGCATGGGCTGGGAGCCTGGGGACCTGGATTCAGTGGCTATTCTGCCATCAGCAGCGTGGTCAGTCACCATTGCACGCTAGCCACAGGACCATGCTCCAGAGAGTCCCTCCCAGGCCATCCCTGCACCTCTGTCCCGTGCTGCAGAGGTGCCTGGTGGTGACAGCCAGCCCATAGTCCTTGTGCTAAGGTGTCCCTTGTATCTGCTTAGCACTCTGCAAGATAAGTGCCACTGCCATCCTCCATTCCAGGTGGGGAAACCGAGGCACTGGGAGGGGAAGGGACTTCACAGCTAGGTAGTGGCAGTTTGGCAATGGCGCCTCCCTGTGTGCACACAAGCCTGGGAAGGGCCAGGCACTAGGACCACATTCCTTCCAATTACAGCGGCCTTCCAACGGTCAGGTCTGGGCCTGGCTGCTGGGCAGGGCGGGGCTGGGAGGCCCCAGGCCCCAAGTGGTGGTTAATGGCGGCGAGGAGACGTAAACAGAGCTAATGAGCCCCTTTCATCGTCTCCCTGCTCTAATGAAGGCCTTGGACTCTGGGCTCTGCATTTTGGGGGTTCTTGATTCTGCAGCCTCAAAGAGTCTTAGGGCCAGGGATATGTAGGCCCCCCAACAGGGGTGGGGTATGAGCTTATGGACTCCCAGTGTCCCCTCCCAGGGCAGCCAAGCCAGGGTGAGGAAGTGGAGAGGAAAGGGCATGGAAAGCATCGTGTCATCCCCCTAAAAATTACAAGCCCCAGAAAAAGGGAGTGTTCCCATGGCAACCCAGAGCAGTTGCTTGGCAACTGCTGGCCCCCAAAATACTTGCCTGCAGGAAGGCTCAGGGCTGGGGCTTTCCGATGGGCTTTCCGATGGCTCACCTCCAACCCCCGCCAGTGCACACCCACCCCTGACCCGAAGAGAAGACTCTGAGGCTGAAAGAGAAAATGCAGAGACCGGGGTCCAGGACCTTCATTAGAGCCTGGGGAGGAAGGGGCCTGACCTGCCGAGTTTCCTCAGATACTTCTCATGACCCACCCGCCCTCCACCTCCACCCGGAGACAGGACCCAGCAGCCTCTGCCCCTGGATCCTTCCTGAGGCACACCCCAGTCCACTCCCCTCTCCCCATCTCCCCGCTCTGCCAGCTACCCGGCATCAAACCAGTCCCCTAGCAACAGAGGCCACTTCCTGGATACCTGAGTGAGAGTTGACAGTGGCAGAATGTCACAAAATGCAAGGTCAGAAGGCACAGCAATGGCTTGGTGCCAGCCAGGGTGTGTGGGACCATGGGGTACCATGTGTGGTACCATGTGCTTTGCAGCCGTGGCCTGGGGCAGGCTGGCATGCCAGGGTGTGGTTGAGCTGGGTAGAGCCCCTGGAAGAGGGGACTGTGGTTCTGGGCCAACTTTGATACCAACTGACTATGTGACCATAGTGTGTCCCTTCTCACTGGCCTCAGTTTCCCCATTGGTGACTCATCTACCCCTCTGCCTGTGTGTTCACCGTTCAATGCATAAACATTGCCCTGTGAATTATGTCACCTACTGGGGCCTTGGGGCAGGAGAGTGAGGGGACCAGGACCAAGCCAGCCACTGCCCTTCCTCCTCACCTGCCAGCATCCACCTCAGCTATCAGGCCCCCGGTCCTCAGGTGAGGCAGGTGGCTTTGGAGCAGGACACCTGGGTCGGAATTCCAGCTCAGCGCTTATTGCCGGGCATCCTAGAAGCAGCACAGGACCCCTCTGAGCCTTGCTGTCTGCCCTGAGGCCCCCGCAGTTGCTGTGAGGGTGTAAGGAAGCCCTGCCCTCTGGGCTCCCATAGGGATTGCCTTAGTTTGTGGGCGCCCACCCTGCACCCAGACCTGGGCACTGCGGGAGCCGAGGTGAGAACACAGATGAGGGGTGTCCAGCCTGGAAGGAGCGAGGTGGAGCCCCAGACCCTGGGAAAGGGTGGGGCAGCAGAATGGTGGGAGAAGGCAGGTGGGGCCACACTGCCCAATGGGTTGGACTTTGGACATGGGAAGGATGTGAGACCTGGTTGCCTCAGATGTTCTCTCTGGGGATGACAGTGAGGGTAGGACTGTTGGTGACCACCCCCCGGGGCCTCCCGGTGCTCTCATGGAGCCAGGATGCCAGTCTGACCCTGATCACTTGCTCACTATGTGACCCTGGGTCATGACCTCACCCCTGTGAGTCTCCCTTGCCCCATCTGTCAAATGGACAAGGGGCGTGCCCACCTCTGGAGTTGGGTGCTGAACTCGTATGTTCACTTGGGGGTCATCGGCTGGGCTCAGGGTGCTCCCATGGGGACTCTGCCCAGCCGCCCCCAATTGGAGTGCCACATGAGGAGGGGCAGGGCAGGGGGCAGCACAGACAGTGGCGGGGAGCTGCTGGCCCACAGCCCAAGGTGCGTGCAGCCCTGGCCCACGTTCATGCCGGACGCCACGCCAAGAAGGCGGGCGGACGAGGTGAGCCCCCAGCCTAGCACTGAAGAACAGGCGGCAGGAGGCCGCTTCAGCTGGTGGGAGGGAAGATTCAGGCATACAGCCCCACCCACCCTGCCTGGGTCCTGCACCGAGGACCCTCCCCCGCCTCCCCCACGTTGGCCTCCCCTCCCTGCACTGCCTGGTGGGCACATAAAAAACTGGGAGGGTGAGACCATGAGAGGGTGAGACTGGGGGGAGGGTGAGACTGTGGGGAGGGCGGTGGAAGGTATTTAAGCCCTGGGGGCTGCCACCACCTGACCTGAATCCATTCCAGAGGGATTCCAGCTCCCACCCCACACCTGCCGGGCTGTGGCTGCGGGGAGGGAGAACCCCGGCCCTGAGCAGCACTTATCTGTCCCGATGATCAAGTGATTGGCTGATTAATCACCTGATGAGTGCTGTCATCTGTCATGATGATCACCAGGAACAGAAGCCCCAGTGAAGTTCGGGCTGTCTAGAGGTCAAGGGGAGAGAAGCCTGGGAGGTGGGATGGGAGCCCTGGCTTGGCCTCAGGGGACCCAGACAAGTGGGCTCCCTAACTCCTCTGCACCCCCATTGCCTCCTCTGCAGACCTGCGAATGTGGGGGAGTGTGAGATGCTCCTAAGGCCCCTGGCACGACACGGGCAGGCCTTCCGCAGGTGGCAGCCAATGTCCGTCCCCCTTCACAGAAGGGAGATGGCCGATGGCCCACCAGCTCCGGCTGCCCTTGGGGATTCAGGGTGTGGGCGCAGGGCAGGGACACTTGCAGGCCCTAAGTTGAATTCACAGGTCTTTTCAGGTAGGGGAACTACGGCCCAGAGGAGGCGAGAAAGTTGCCCAGGCTAAGCATCGCTTCTTCCCTGAGGCCAAGTTCCAGGCCCTGGCTGCCCAGTTGCTCAGGACTGGAGTTCAAG